ACACAAATAAAATGAAAATTTGCGTGGTGCATATATATTTGATGCCCTCTTGTACCAATATTTATTGTGCTCAAATAAATAAATAAGCAGTTGGTTCGTTGTGTGTAATATAAATTTAAATCAATTTATTCTATTCCTTATTTTATCGATTGATGACCATAGAAATTGTTTCACACTTTATATAATCTATTTCATTTAAAAATTAAATTCACTTATTATCCAGGTACTTGGATATGAGCTACACTCTAAATATAGGAACTAATCATACTGTTTACCGAGGAGAGACTTGAATCTGACATTTAGTAGGTGAATGTTGAATGCTTTAACCACTAAGCAACCGTTTCATTCCAAAGAACGTTTCTTTAATTTATTAAAAACAATGGTTTATGTACTCAATTTTTTGGATTGTAATTGTTTATGAGAGCGAATGAGATTATTCACTGCTCAAACTTAAGTAAGTAGTATGTATGTTCTCGAAGTAGTAACTTATGAGTAACTAATCCATAAATGAAAAACAAACAAATAAATCAACACATGAGATTGGCAAATTCAAACAACTAAACATTACCTCAATTATATTAGAATTAACATATTCTTTTAAAGCGTTTTCAATTACTTCAATATCTGCACCATCACATCCACTTAAAGCAGCTAATGCTTCAGCAGCTTCATGACGAATAAGTGTAACATGTTTATCATTATGTAGAGCTTGTAAAAGATATGGTACAGCTTTTGGATCACCACGTTGTCCTAGACAATAAGCAGCTTCATGTTGTAATAGATCATTAGCGATAGGTGATGGTTTAACATAATTACAAACAAAATCAGCTAACAATTCAAGTGCTAGTGGTTCGGCAGCATGACGTAATCCCCAAAGAGAACGTGAACGATCAACTAGAGAAGCGGATGGATTTAATAAACATTTGCCCCATTCACGTAATTCTGTTTCGGAAACTGGTTTTGAAGTCATAATAATTGCTTGAAGTTATTTAGTAGGGAAATGAATGAAGAAGAAAATAACAAATAAATATCAATATCAGATGAGTTTTGTGGATATTATAGTAATTTCAATGGTTAACATCATGAGTCAGATGAAGCTAGATACCACCATGGAAAACCTGTTGGTTAAGTGCTCGCGCGTGAAACCAGTAGGTCCTGGGTTCAAATCTCAAAGGGAGGGGGGAGGTCGTGGATGCGCACTGCTGAGGAGTCTCACAATAGGACCAAACAGCCGTCCAGTTCTTCCATGGTGATCTAGCTTCAACTGACTCATGATCTTAACCATTGAAATAAATATTAGTTAAATGCTTTTTAAGAGTAAAATTTTACAGTAAATCAATCTGATTAATATAATTTATTAAGAGAAATATATATTTCATTCTTACTACTGTCATAACATTCATTGTAATTAAATGGTTTAATGGAGAACTGGTATCAACAATGTTAAACCAAGAATAACTGGACAAACTTTATGTTTCAGTTTCTATGCATGAGGTCAAACCTATTACTGTAAGGTCTCGTAGAGAAAAAAAAATATGTTTACAGATCGACTGAGTTACATAACCAAAGCTCATGGCTTTATTTCAGAAATCAACTTACTTTCCATTTAGACACATTGATACTGTGACTTAATGCCTTTCGTTTTAAACATCAATACGGTGGTGTACTTTAACCATGTTAGGAGTGAAACGAAGATTACCATAGATAATCATTAAATTGCATAACTGAAGTCAAAAAAATGTGGGATACAAGATTTTCAATGAGTTGTATTAATTTAACACGATTACTATGAGACTCGAGGATTGTGAACTCAATCCAATGTACGATGCACAAACAGCTGTTAAATCCATTCAGTTTGAATGCTATTTCAACTTATACTAACATGTAACTAAGATCAATTGATTGAATATAAATGACATGTGATATTGTCCTTACTTACAAGCACTGTAACAATATCTTCTTTGTAAGTCATATATCATTAAAGGGAATTTAATGCTATGATGAACAGTATAACAGACAGTACACGTAGGAATTGACACTTTTTGAATTGTTAACGTTAAGGTTTGAAAATAACACCCTCTCTTGATTATATCTCCATCCTGAGCAGATTGCCTGACTCTTCCCATTAAGTCACAAGTATTTTAATCAAGTGGGATAGTGGCTAGAATAAGAATCCAGAACGCATGTTTCATGTTAGTCGAGACTCATGTCAGTCGAACATACCTGCATCCAAGTATAAGCGTTAACTTTGCCTAGAGCCCTATTACGGTTTCTGGAAGTTGTAAAACCGAATAAAGGAGGAATTTCGGGCATTGGGTTAGCAACCTTATCCCGTAAAAACAACAACCTTGCTAACCACAAGTAAAATCGAATGAGACTGCTTACATCGAGAATGTAACATCATGATTCTTAAAGTTCATTATAAGCCACTATTCAACTTCAATGAAAATACAACGAACAATTAACAATATATATATATATATATATATATATATATATATATATATATATATATATATATATATATATATATGATACAACTGACGAATATCTACTGAATGTACAAACGTAGTTTCTTCCCCCCCCCCAAAAAAATATACATTTTATACTGTTTATTGTAATCTTCACACTACTAGGTTCAAGTTCCGAAATAAACATCAAATTTAGGATGAATATATATCCAACTGGCGAGTCCTAAATAGGATGAAACATGCGTCCTGGATTCTTCTGCTAGCTATCATCTATCTTTCTCGAAATGCTCTCAAATGACAACGAGTATATAGCCTCTGGAAGGGAAGTCCTACTCTTTGACATCACGCACTACGGGTGTTGTTTACGAAATTGAGAGGACGAAAAGCGAATTTCCGGCACCGGCTTTAACCGGATCCCAAATTAATGGTGCACATGGGCTGGCTCCAGTATCGTGAACGAACAGATGGCATATGAACCAATCGTTGGTCACCGGCTACCATGGGACTGCATCTTCTCACAATGCTCCACTGCCTTGTGGGTTAGACCTTTAGGTCAAAGGCTCGGGGTGTGGCCCCCAATGAAAACCACCTGCTTCGGTCTGGGCACCCGAGCAGTATCACAGCCCTCACACATATCAATTGAGATTCGTGTGGAGCATATGTATTTGGTGCCTCCCTGTACCAATACCTATGTGTTAAAATAAATCAATAAATAAACAATACATACACAAAAATATGAGCACAGATCAACATTTTGAATTCACATACACAATATATTACATTTTGTATACAGGTATTCAATCAGTACTTATAACATATTTATTGAGTAGTATATATATATATTTGGTATATTTGACACGATACAACTATTCTTTAATAACGTAATCAAACAAAAAAAAATATAATACTGTTGAATATAGTTCTTTCAAATCAAGATAGTTTCAAAGAAGTTCGACTAGAAAACAGAGAGGGAGAAAAGAAAAACTGATTGGTCCTTTGTTATTGTTGTTATCATTTATCGAACAATCCCATTGTATACATGGTATTGCATGAATCAATGTTATTATATGAATGATCTAATGTGTCAACTATACAATTTTCTACAATGTAACAATGAATGAACAACTTCCTTAACATCATTAACGAAAAAAATTATTATTGCACACATAAAACAAAACTTATTTCTGGGTGGGTGGGGGTGTTGAGTGAGGGGGTGGTGGTGATGGAAATTAATCACAACGAAATAGAAGAGAAAATAAGACTAGATAAATAAAATATTGAATAGAATAATCTTTGTATATTTTATATGTAGTTACCAATGTGACTGATAGATGAGTACCTACCATTACAGGGTAGATAATAAATGCCTTTTTTGTTTGTTTGTTTGTTATTTGTTTAAATAAAATGTACAATATACAATAATCGTATAAATAATAAAAAGAAAAAAATCTATCATGTTTTTACAAAACGATTCACTAAATATATTGTTAAAACAAAAAAGGGAGGTAGGGAGGGGGAAATAAAAATTAATTTTGAGATGGTGGAGAAAATTTGTAACTCAGGTAGATGATTTTAATGGAGTTTTGTTCTCTGAACTGGATAGTTTGGTACGTGGAGCTTCTTCTATTTGAAATTTGTACTGCTGCTGATGATGATGATAATGATGATGTCGTATTCAGAAGGACGATGAAAACTCCACGATCAAACCATCCAGCTCAGACAACAGAACTCTATCAAAAATTAATTTTTTCATTAAATGTAATCAATCACATAACAATAAATAAACAAAACAATAAAAGTAAACAATCATTGGTTATATCATTATTATTTGTCTGTAACAAAAAGGAGCAGATATTACATAACATCTTGTGTGTGTGTGTGTATGTGTGTGTAAACTCAGAAGAATGAAAACATACTATCACTAAGGATTCACATCGTCAAGAGAAATACATCTGAAAAATGCTTGAACAACAATAAAGTATAATATTGTTAACATGGTTATTTTTGGATTAGTCAATGTATATTCGATAGAAATGCACATACTACTAATATACTTTGTTATTAGTAGTATAATCATAACAATAAATAGATAGATTACTAGATATACAATACAAAACAAAACAACAAAAAAAAAGAACTACATGAATAAATCAATAATGGCAATGAAAATCAAAACTTATAAAATTCTACAAACAACCATGTTTCGCTATCTAAAGTAGTAATTTAATTTATATTCCAAGAAGATGATTACATTGACAATAATAAAAAGTTCCGAAAGGAGTTAGTTTATTTCGGATAGATTATCAGATATAAAGAATATAAAACACTCTAACTATTATACTTCAAAACGAAATACTAGAAATACTAACACTAACACTGATACTAATACTAAACGAAGAAGAAGAAGAAGAAGAAGAAGAAGAAGAAGAAGAAGAAGAAGAAGAAGAACAAGAACTAAACACTTGAGCAAACCATGTTTATTAAACTAACAGAAAATAAAATCATCAAACAAATTCATTGAATTTATCATCACATTGGAATTGATCGATGCTTTGTTACTTTCATTTCTAATTGTTGTAAAATAGTAGTAACTGATTGTGAAATACGAATATCAAGATTCTCAATTTGTCTGTAAATAAAATAAGAAAACGAATGTTAAGTAAATGAAAATTGTTACAATTATTTAAATGAAGTATATTGGAGAAAAGTAAAACCGAATTTATTTTGTTAAAAGTGAATGTTCTACTGTTTAATCGAGTTGATGGATCAATGCTCGGGTACGGTCAACGATGGGGAGAGTCCACTCTCCCTCTTGAAATACTCTTATATGCCAACGCGTATACAGTCCTGACAGAAAAATCCTACTCACTGACTTCACGCGGGCAGAGGACGAAAAGCAATTGTTCGGTGTTTTAATCGGGTTGGTAAACAGGGAGGGTCCTGATTGTAAACTAATCGTACACATGGGCTACAAAATCTTAAGAAACAAAAGGCGTATGGAGCTATTTCGCTGGTCACCGTCTACCATGGGACTGTATCTCCGAATTTTGCTTCATTCCGACAGTTGTTGCTACCTTGACGTGGTGATCGGGTTTCGCCTATCCTGATGAAGCAAGTGAGCTATACTGGCTAGAACAACCGGTTCTTCAACGTCCTACCATGCCAGACAGGTCGGTTGAAGAGCGGTGGGACTAAAAGCAACAAACCGAAGGTCCGAAGTCGAAGTCGTACTGCTGATTGTACAGAGGTGTGACAGCAGTAAGGTGTTTCCTTCAGACAACCAGCATAACAGTGATCCTGCCTTCCCAAAAGAGGAGTGGGGTTAGAAAAGGTCGACCCTAAAAACGCAAACCTCGCCTTATCCACGGATATCCGTCTCCAGCGGTAAGGTCTCAACAAGTACGGAGCTAACACGAACATTACTCACAAAAAGATCGTATGTGACCAACCTCAAGAAGTTGTCCCTTGGACACTGCGGTCACACTTTCAGGTCACTACGACCACCTCTAATCCAATTTCCTTTTCTGGTACCTCCAGAAGAACCCTTCCACGGTGTGGGCAACCGGGAAGTGATAACCGCCTTCATACCTCTAACAGCACTCAAGACCACTGTATTCATAATCAATCTCCCTAAGTTTGCTTCATTGTCTTGTGGACTAGACGTCTATGTCAAAGGCTCAGGGAGTGGCCATCTAACAAAACCACCTGCTTCTGTTTGGACACCCAAACAGTATCTCAGCCCTCACATGAATCAAATGGTGAAATGTGACGCATTTGTATTTAGTGTCTCCTTGTACCAATGTTTATGTGTTTAAATAAATCAATATATAATATAATATAGATAAAACTAATTTATAGGTTTCTTTCCAAAAACAAGCGAACCAGTTAACCTAAATAATATTTATTTATTTATTTATTTTAACACATAAGTATAGGTACAGGGAGGCACCAAATACATATGCGCCACACAAATCTAAATTGATATGTGTGAGGGCTGTGATACTGTTTGGGTTCTCAAACCGAAACAGGTGGTTTGCTTAGGGAGTCTCACACCCCGAGCCTTCGACCTGAATGTTTGACCCACAAGGCAGTGGAGCATCGTAAGAAGATGCAGTCCCATGGAAGCCGGTGACCAACGATTGGTTCATACGCCATTTGTTCCTTCAGGATACTGGAACCAGCCCATGTGCACCATTGGTTTGAGATCCGGTTAAAGCCGGTGCCGGACATTCGCTTTTCGTCCTCTCATTTTTGTAAACAACACCCCCGTCACGAGAAGGCAGTGAGTAGGACTTCCCTGGCAGAGGCTATATACGCATGGCCATGTGAGAGCATTTCGAGAGGGAGAGCGGACTCTCCCCACTCTCGGCCGTACCAGGGCATTTGGGGGCACCTAAATAATATACTTTTTTAATATAGGGCTGGTGAGATACAGTTCACTATGGAAGATAAAGATAACTAAAAAAAGAACAATGTCAACCATTGGATGAAAACTCAGTGGTCTGAAGTTTAGGTACATTCTATCCGACATGAAGATTATATATTTTATTCATGGTGAACTTGTGAATGTACACTATTCGCTCAGTCAGTCATCTACAACGTAGGATCTGGCACATAAATACATTGGTCCAAGTTGCCATACCGCATTAACATAAAAAGATGAACACCAAATTGACAAAAGTAGTTACTTCGATGGTAATATATATTGCACATAAGGATATGATACAGGGAAGAAATAATTATTTCGTAGAAAGAAATGCATAAAGTGATTTAAATTTCATGGTTTAAGGGAAGACAAAGAGTGCATACACCTACGTCATTGTGATTAATTCTGAGTCGTGGTACATACAGTCCCCAACCACTGATTACAACGGTCGCGCGAACCTCAACCAAGCATCTACCAACATGGTTCAGACTACAAGTTAGTGACGTTATGAACTGATGCTATGTCTTGAATTGGCCGCCCCTAACTTTCTTCCAACCGTCTCCAATACTAGTCAACATTGCGTGCAGTGGTAATCGGTGGTTGAGCATGCGTAATATGTGGTCCATTCATCTCAGTCAATGAAGATTATAAACCTCATCAACTGATTTACCATCATCCCATAATACCCTGTGTCTAACCTCACTATTACTTACCCGGTGATCCAAGCAGATGCGAGTAATATTTCTAAGACATCTGTAATCAAATACTAGTAACTTATGAATATTTTCTACCCTTACTGACTATGTTTCACAGTCGAAAAGTAAAATAGGACAAACTGGTGCGTAGTATACTTGTACTTTAATTGATCGACGAATATCTCGCCTTAATAGGCGATGTAATTTGGACAAAACAGTTATCTAGTGTTTCCTAGTTTTTGATGGTTGTCTAATTTAGGTTGGTTTATGATCTCAATAATATGGCTTCTACTTTCATGATACATCTGGTTAGGTATAAAACTCTACCTTAAATATGCAAGACAATAGTCCGTTGTTAATTGATGCATATCAAAATATCTTACTGTTTAAAGAAGCATATATCAATTATAAAATAATACACTAAGAAGAAAAGAGAAGAATCACTGCAGAGAGAGATCCTAAACTTATCAAATTAGTCTTTTTATATTATCCATAACTGAATATGTGTTCCCTTCTTTCTTTTCTTAGTATCGGTGGAAACGTGAAAGTTGAAATGAAGCAGTAAACAAGTAAGATTATGATGATTGGGTCTACCTATTGGTAACTCCGGCTTAAAAAAAAAAAAGAAAACTAGACTACTTTTAGCGTCAACTATCTATTATTAAGCTGAAGTTGAACAGTTTATCAGGTTTTTGAATAAACGGAGGTTCTCTGAATAGACTCTGTCACTAATATTAGTTCTGTGTTACTACAAGTGATTTGTTTTGGGAAACTGTATTTATTTATTTATTCATATATTTGAACACATAGATATTAGTACAAGGAGGCACCAAATACATATGCGCCACACAAATCTCATTTAATATGTGTGAGGGCTGTGATAATGCCTGGGTACCCAAACCGAAGCAGGTGATTGCCATAGGGGGCCACACCCCAAGCCTTCGACCTGAACGTCTGACCCACAAGGCAGTGGAGCATCGTAAGGAGATGCAGTCCCATGGTTGTCAGTGACCAACGATTGGTTCATATGCCATTAGTTCCTTCAGGATAGTGGAGCCAGCCCATGTGCACCGTTGATTTTGGATCCGGTTAAAGCCGATGCCGGACATTCGCTTTTCGTCCTCTCAATTTCATAAACAACACCCGTGGTGCAAGAAGTCAGTGAGTAGGACTTCCCTAGCACAGGCTATATACTCGTGGTCATGTAAGAGCATTTGGAGAGGGAGAGATGACTCTTCCCACTCTCGGCCATACCAGGGCATTTGGGGAACTGAATATATTATGGTAGCTGTCTCAGTGACAACAATGCCCTGGTATGATGTGAATGAACAGATGGGGGATTTCGGTGTTTAAACTGTTATATGTACCATCTATAGTAAACAAGTAACGTGTATCCCAATAATAAAACTCGTTTTATGATTCATTCATGCTATACTTTTGAAATTTTAGTATCGTGGATGGGCACTGCTGAAGATTCCCATACTAGGACGAAACGGCCGTCTAGTACTTCCAGGTTTTCCATGGTGATCTAGCTTCAATTGACTCATGATTTCAACTATTGAAATCCATAATTGTTGAGTTTATTTTTACTATGAAATGTATACAATTACATATCATGAGTTGTAAAATCACTTTTACAAAGGTCAACTACAATTTGCATTATTTCACATTTATATCAATTTTGTTCTAAAATAATCATTTTAATGTGACCTACAAAATCTCATACTTTCATATAATGTAAACTTAAATTTTTTTTTAATGATTATGATCATATCTATAACCTGACCTGAATTCGGGTACTGAATTTTACAATATATTTTGTAATTATCTATATTATTACAATTAAATTTGACTCATGATCTTAACCATTGAAATTACTACAATCTCCACAAAACCCCTTTTGATATTAATCTCACTAGTGACTAACTTCAAGAGGTATTTCCTGGAATTCTAGTGAGAAGTAGTGACCAGTGCAGTTCAACCAGGTCTATTGTGAGATAGTAACTCACTGAAGACAATGGTAGATGTGTCGCTGAATTTCGTGGATTAGTTGAAGGTAGACATTAACACCGTTGGATGCTGTCCGGCTCAGTGGTCTAGTGGTCGCGCGCGAAACCAGTAGGTCCTGGGTTCGAATCTTCCGTAGGGCCAGGTCGTGGATGCGCACTACTGAGGAGTCCCACAATAGGACGAAACGGTCGTCCAGTGTTTCTAGGTTTTCCATGGTGGTCTAGCTCCAACTGACTCATGATCTTAACCATTGAAATTACCAAAAATAACCATTATAAGTAGTATTTAGCAAAGAAGATACATATATAGAGAGAGGATGAATCAGTGTTATGTAAAAAAAATGGTCAAAAATACAATAACTTATTTACGCCTGTTACCGCTCATGTAGGAGAGCATAGACCACTCACCATCATTCTCCATCCTTGACAATCCTTTCAGATTGTTTCCAGTTGCTATTCATCATTTTCATCTCTCAGTCAGTCAGTAACAACGTGGAAC